TTTCAAACTGAAATTAAAAAGTAATGTAATTATGTGCAGGTAAGCATCGCGAGGCTAACCAGTCGAAACAGAGCATGGAGAATAAAATGGTGCTCAGTGTTTCCAGTAAGCATATACTGATTTAGTCTGCTTAAGGATGTATATAGTAACCAGTACTTCCAAAAAAAGCATTTTTAACAAAAAAATTAGGTATGTGTTTATAACAGCAGACCACTCACTTTGATTTAAGGATAATCGGCTTCGAGCGCAATCAATAAATATTGACCTAATTTGCATAAGTTGGCCTACTTAGCAACGGAAACAACGCACTCACGACTTGTCTCTGCAATCGTTCTATATTAGTACACCGTGTGTGACACATTCAAAAATTAGTGCTCCCTAAAATTGTTATCAGAATTATTATTAGAAATTAAAAGAAGGAAGGGACCAAAATGAAAGAATATGACCCCAATGTCCGAAGAAGCAAAACTTCGTCTCAAAAAAAAAAACGATCGTGGTATGAGTCCAGCGAAAGTTGACTTTCCCACCAAGACTTCAGCAAATGCTGACCCATCATTACCAATATCAATGGAATGTATCTGAGTGGATTTCTCAAACTGAAATTAAAAAGTAATGTAATTATTATGTATACATCATCTAATACTGTAAAATACTTCACTTGGAATTAATTTTCGCTAAAAGAATGATTCAGTGAAAATAAAATCCAGCAAACTTACTGTAAAATACTTTATTTTAGCTGGAATTAATTTTCTCTGAAAAGGTATTTTGGGTGTTTCGTATAGAATTTATTTTCACTTAATTCTGATGAGTTGAATGTAAAATATAGGAGAAAAAATATATTTGCTGAATTTTATTTTCAGTGAATTATTTCTTCAGCGAAAATAGCAAAAATAAAGTATTTTACAGTATCTGATGTGTGGCTATAACATACAAACTGTCAGTTCTGTTTACTTCCAGCAGTACACATGAAAAGTTACATCATCAATGCAAAAAATAGCAAAATAAAGTATTTACAAAACAATAAGTTACAAAGCACCATGTTCATAAGTTTGCCGATTATTAGAACTGATTTCCTAGCATCTTGAGTCAAATTGAATTCTCCTAAAATCAAGTTGAATCAGTTTGTTGACTACTGCGAAGAAAATAATACTTGAGGCACAAACAAAAATGTTGTGGCTGCTGATTTCCTTTTACACTTTCTTAATACAAGTAAACGGTGAATTTCATGAAAACCGAAATTTCAAATTATCTAACTTTAGTAGGATGTTTTTCAAGATCACTATATCAATCACAATGAATGATTTTCTATTGTATCAATGACATGCCAGTGAATTAGCATAAATAGATGCATCACAGTAAACTGGCTTAGAGAGCACACTGGTTCTCAGTGCAAAGCTATGAATTTCATTATGAGATGACAATCTACTCATCATCCAATCGACCATAAACCCCAAATAATGATGAAAACTAAACTATCTTGGCAAGGATGTTAACTTTACAATTTAATATGTCAGATTCTGATAAAAACAAGATGCAACTTGTGTGCATTGTGATTTTATTGAAATTTTGTACACAATAAATATTAAAAATAAAGAAATCTTACTTGTAATATAACTGACACATTCTTCTCACCAGCTGACTTGCATTTCCATTTTCTGTAAGTCTCATCCTTTAATAAGTTATCAGCTTTGTGGTTCTATGGAAGAAAAGATTTGTAGTAAAGATCATGTGATAATTTATTTTATTTATCTACTATTCAGCCATGTGACTGAAGTTTGGAAAAGCAGCAAACATGGTACCCTTAGGTAAACTCGGTCACTGTAACTTGTAACCAGGACACACATTTTATGAATATTTACAGCTTTTTTAAGCCCAGTCATCCTACAGTGATTTGCTATTTTTTGCATTGATGATGTGACTTTTCATGTGTACTGCTGGAAGTAAACAGAACTGACAGTTTGTATGTTATAGCCACACATCAGATACTGTAAAATACTTTATTTTTGCTATTTTCGCTGAAGGAATGATTCAGTGAAAATAAAATCCAGCAATTATACCTTTTCCCTATATTTTACATTCAACTTGTCAAAACTCAGTGAGAATAAATTCCATTATAAAACACCCAAAAAGTCTTTCCAGCGAAAATTAATTCCAGCTTAAATAAAGTATCTTACAGTATAATGATTAACTTAGAATGCCACCATTTTTATTTGCCAAAACTTATACTTAAAATATTTGGTCCTTATTTTATAATTTTTTTTTATAATTTCTTTGTTGATTTTAGATCTGATGGACACAATTTACCATTGCCAACATTTATGAAAAGATAAATTAAGAATTAAAAAAATTCAATTAAAAAAAGAAAAAAATTAAGTGATACAAAAAACAATGTACATTTTGATGACAAAAAGAGGACAAAAGTTGACCATGGCATGTCAAATTTCAAAACATGCAAGTTTTTGCTTTTTATATTTTATATTTCAAATGCAAAGGAACAGTGGACAGCATTGTATGCATTTACATAACAATACAACCTAATTTACAAAATAACTATTTCATTAGGATAATGATTAAATACTAGTGGTTTCTATTTTTTCCTGAAAGTTTGAGCATTTCTGTTTATTTGATTATCATTAAGTTTTAGCATCATATGGTATTAGTTTTTGAAAATCTAGGTTGATGTTACAAAATTGGCAAAACTGATCAGCAAATCACAGGCTCGGCAGTCGGCACACTGTTTTTGTACGTTCAGTGCCAGGTAATAATTATGTTAGTTGGTGTTGTATTGTAGTGACCCGGATGTTGACAAACACAACTCAGAATCCGACATTGAGAAGACAACAAACTGGCAAATGTCACATTAATAGTTAATAATACAAACTAATCACATTTAGTTGAAGAAATGGAACTCAATGTGGCTCAAAACTGTTTGTACTGTAATAATTGTTGTGTGTACGTTTCACACACTTTGACAGAAAGTTTTCCAAGTGCATCTATACACAGAGCACCGTGCGTGTTGAGAGATGGTGCACATGCGTTGTGTCGTCACAAGAAGCGCTGTCTCAGCACATACATCGGTGTAAAAAAGACGTCGACCTGCAGCGTCAATGGGTGCACAGGGATAATACAACTCACAACAACGTCCAGAATGCTGTCTGTCGGATTGTCCAGTTCTGAATTCGACGGCATACGTCTACATCTCCAAGTATTATGGTAAACTTACCGGGTCTTCGCTGCTACAGGATACCACATGCTGTAGTTTAATTGGTGGCATATTTGCTGATAAGCTACCGCCAATATCTCGAATTTCGCGGTATGGTTGATGGTCGTCCGGAAAACAACCAGCGACGCTATTGTTACCTTTGACCTTATTAGTGTTTTGTGGTTGCGTGTTGCTTCTTAACTCCAATGATGGATCTTCTAAAGACGTGTCCATTTATTTGATCAATATTCTCCTTCATCCTAGTTCAATTTCTAAGTTGTGATCATTTAGATACAATTTTAAAATAAACAGTAATTTCTTTAGTCTTTAATGTCTTTTAAATACTTTCCAAAATGAAATTCTTGTTTAGACAATTTATAAGTTTTTTTTAGTTCTGTCCCATCATTGCGACAGTTATTTACATGTTTCTTGTTCCTCCTTCCTGGATATTCATTATTTAGTTTCAAATTTATGTATTTTATACTTAAAATAGCTAATTTCTATATTGCTAAAGTAATTCTGACCCAGATTTGCTTTAATATTTTGGATGTATTCCTTTGAGTTGAAATCAAACCACAGTCGTACTGCTTGTAAATTCTATTTCCTGGTCTTCAGGAGGTAGTGAAAGCGCCACGCATGCATGAGATATGGGACTCATACGTACAATGGTGGCGACTGTTGCGCATACCAACGATTACAAACTGAGACTTTACTAAGATTTATCTATGTAATTATTTCGATGATTGCAAGGTATTGAAAGAGTCGCTGGCGGTAATTAGTGCACGTTGCGCCCAGGTCAATCCTCTTACGCGCGATTTCCAATGAAAGAGCGCACTGGATGATGTGAAATATCGCACATGCGCGGTGCGACGGCCACGCCCTTTAACTTGGACTTGTGTGTGTGTGTGTATATATATATACATATATATCTTATCGTGTATGCATTGTAATTTTATTTCTTATAATGCCAATCAATACTTACACTCATATTTAATACTCGGTACATGATATTGTTACAAAACTGGACATGATACGTCGGCAGTCCGGTTGTCATCCGTCGACACCTGACACCTTAAACCACTAAAGAAGTCGGTCTGGCCTTCGAGACCGGTGAAGGTGTTAGATTCAACATAATACTTTTATTTAATATATTGTTTACGATCCATGTGCACTGGGTATATGTCTAAATACTGTCGAATCAGGTCGGGCATTTTGTGTCGTTTTGATTTACTTTATACTTGAATACTGAAACAAAAACTCCAGTACTTGGCTTAGATAAGCACTTTTCCCAGGGGACTTTGCCGCGTTCCCGAGACATGATTATTCCCCCCCGGGGGGGGGGCAATTGATACATAGCTGGGTATGTGCTCAAAAGCGTG